AGTCAATGGACCACAAAAAACATTAGTAGAAGGCAAGTCATCTTAAAAAATGGTATAACATGGGAAAAAAAACACGAATTATGCGGGATTATGCGCGATTTGGTAAATTATGCGAAAAGGGGGCAATTATGCGCGTCCGCATCCGCGCGTAATTCCGACATGCCTGATTTAAATTTCTTTTTAATGCCGTATGGCAACAAATCAAATTTGAAACTATAAAAACATCAGAGAAAGCTTTTTGTTTTTGTCCTTTATTCAGTTCAACCAGAAACCTATAAGGGACTTGAAACAAATTGTAGCGCCGTGCCATTTTTTGGAATATTCAAATCTAATTTGCATCTCATTTCCTTATTTGGAAAAATTCCAAATATGGTCATAACGTTCGTTTTCAAATTTTTAATGAGCTTTGAATATTCCGACGCTTGGTACTAACGGGTGCTACACGTTTCAAGTCCCTTAWAGGTTTCTGGTTCAACATAAGAAATTTGAATTATCACACTKTTGCWTTACCTGAGCTAACTTCCTGGACAAATCATTGGTCAGGAACTCCTCTTCTTGTTCATAGTTTGTTGCTAACGTTTCCTTTTCTTTCTTTAATAACTGTATTTTCTTGAGTAATGTATTGGAGATGAACTCTTCTTCTTGTTCAGCTTTTGCTTGCTGTTCAACAAAATCAACAATTAACAAATTGTGCACCGTCAGTTTTGAGATGTATGTCCACTTATTGACACACTCTTGACATCATAAAATGTTCAAAAAGTCACTTGGACCCACGAACGCAGTAAGTTTGTATAAAAGATTGAAGGATAATGAATTTTTTTCATGAAAAAAATATGAATATTCTCTGTGACAAAAACATATCCATACTGTCATTGCTGAGTGACCAATCCAGAAAAAAAATCATTATGCGTTACAAATAAAATTAGTAATAGACAGCTGTCATTCACAATAGAGCTTTTGTCTTACTACCCGCCAGTTTATGACATTAAATGGAGCTGCAATTACTATGTACGAATGTAAATGACAATAAAAATTGTACATTGCAAATTCAATGCCAAATTTGCTCGTGCCGTGATATTTTAAAACTGGCAGTTAAACAAATAAATAGTATATGTGAGATATGATATATTATCAGTGTGAAGGCTCCTGTTATTAGCATAATAATTATCAGCCAATCGGGGTGCAAGAATCACAAAATTGCGGGGGAAAATAACGAAAAACAAGTAGTGATGTCTGGACCGTGTGTTTGTGTTATAAGTTAATGTTTTCTGAGCCAATCCCATAGTGCTGTCTGACAGTCTGTTCAAATCATAAAATATACATATTATACCCTCATATATGATTTTGCCATTTTGTCTATTTGCTCTTTTAATTTTCGTGATCACACGTATTTTATTTGCAAACAAAATATGGCTGTGAACAGTTGCACGTACAACATGCAGGGCGAAAACAGTGTATAAAACGATTAATCGCTTCAATCTCAATGCACTGTAAGTCAAATGACGCCCCTTTGACTTTAGTCTTTCTTAATGYTAGCATCAGATGGCTTTTCTTTGCATCATTGCATAACAATACAACACAAAAATTCAGTGAGAATTTGTACATTAGAAATYATTTTTGACAAGTCAGCTTTTCTAAAGCGTTGTCACAGCAATGGAAAACTAGACTCTAATCCTACTAAAGTTCAGTTTGTTTATCGAAAACAGATTCTAAGTGATTAAAACGCTAAGGGAGGTACCACAAGGCAATGAGTAAACATTTTTAAGCCAAGCRAACGTGTCGAGGAAGCAACTTCACGAGAAAGGACAGAGGTAGTCAAGAGAGGCAACAACATCCAAACACACGGCTTTACAGTGTTTGCATTTGAAACAACTCCATCGAAATACTCTTCCTATATCATAAATCTATGTACTACACAAGTTCAAAGACACTCTAACACGTCTAAAAAGCTCAACGAATCGAAAACGACGCAAAATTGTGACCAGAGATATATAAACTTACGATAGAAACACTGGCTTGGCGGAGCGCTCTGTTCTCTTCTTGAAGGGTTTTGCAGCGAAGTCTGCATGTCTCTAGTTCCATTTTTAATACTCTATTTTCCTGCTTGAGTAGACTGAGAAGACTTATATTTTGATTTGTAGTGGACGATGAACCCTCGTCTGCACTCATATCGCTGTCGCTAAAGGCCGGGCCCTCACCAGACAAGTTGAGAGGCACCGCCATCTTGGAAGTCTCCTTGACTGAAGAGCTCGTGGCCTTGTGGGTAATTAAAAATAGCTAGGGGTGGGGAGGTCATTCACTTTTTTATTTTTTTCCCTTCAATTTTCTGTATTTGTAGAGTACAAACATTAAATGTGTGCAACACTTTCTACTATTTACTACAAAATAGTGTTAATTAAACAATAGAATAGAATAGAATTAGCATAATTTAGCAGTATTTAGTGGTATTTATGTGGCACAGTTTAGTGTTTGTACTCTAGTATTCCTTATTCAGTAACTATTAGTATCATTTGCAACAACCAACTGTAGGCACTTTTAATCATACGGAAACGGCGTGTTTACCGCACGAACGTACAAATGTTAGTCTATCTTAATGGTATGGAATGTTTTTTTTTTGTTTTTTTTGTTTTTGTTTTTTTTTTGTTGTTTTTTTTTTAGCTAGACAAGCAGTTGGTCAGTTGTCATTTAATTATTGCGCGAATATTCAATGTAGTACACCTGATTGAAGACATAGAAGCTAAGACCGAAAGGGATTTTGAGTACCACTAAATTTGGATTACATTTGCGTATACGGTGTACACTAAGCAAGTAGAGCTAACAACATGCTAGTCTTTTATGCTGGAGAGCTGTTTGTTATGAATAAATTAACCAAATTGTTTGTCTCCCCAAGTACCACTCGGTCTTAGCTTCTTTGATTTGACCTTTTTGGGCCCGACAACGTTTCTATGTATATAGCTACAACGAATAACAATATGCATTTGGACAGAGTAAACCTTACATGGCTGATCATGAGTAACTTTTCAACACACCAACCACCCCTGCACTTCCCTTCCCCTCTCTCCTCCAATGTTCAACGACTGATATTTATACAATTACATTACGATAAATCAATTTAATCTACAAATGGCTTAAGAACTAGTCAAAACAGGTTATATTTGTTACACAAAATAGCATTAAGAAGAGACTCTCTCTATCTAGCTGAAACATGCCAATAGATGTCCCGTTAAAAATGTTTGATTCAATCTAGTTGACTATGTGTGACAGGGGTTTATTTTGATATGTTCAGTTGTTTATTTATCGTCCCTTGGGCCGTGGTAGACTCTTTTAAGGAGTCGCGCTTTGTGCGTGACAGGGAGTTCGACCGCGGTACCGGCCAAAAGTAGAGTACGGAGACGTGAATGCACCCAGCTACAGGAGGCGAGTTAGGCCCTTGAAACATATGTACGAGTGYTCAGGAACAGAATAAACCGACGTCGTTACATTTTGGCGCCCAACGTGGGGCCTAAACTAACTGGCTTGGCTGGAAATCGAGTGCGTAACAAGGTCATTTAAACGCGGTGCAACTCAAAGGACCCTACAGCTAGATTCTAGTGCTTGAATTCAATATTCTGGTACAGTGTATAAAGGAACTAGCATAAGAGTTTACAAGTCTCTACTGGAATTCATTGCCCAGTGATTACATTTTAAGGAGTTAAAATAACTTCTTGTGGAGACAGCTCACCACTGAATTTGTGTACGCGAGTGGGATTAATCGACGCTGAAATTTTGCTGTATATGCAAGTTGAATTTATATGGAAACTGCTCGTCGCTATATTTTGCTGGATATACAAGTTGAATTTATATGAAAACTTCTCGTCGCTATATTTTGCTGATTACGAGTTGAATACATCAAGAAGAAAAGAAAAGTTGAAATTACGCCCATCCTATTACTCAGATTGTTTTATTCCTTTCATCTACGAAGTTGCCAANTTTTGTTTTTGTCCTTTATTCAGTTCAACCAGAAACCTATAAGGGACTTGAAACAAATTGTAGCGCCGTGCCATTTTTTGGAATATTCAAATCTAATTTGCATCTCATTTCCTTATTTGGAAAAATTCCAAATATGGTCATAACGTTCGTTTTCAAATTTTTAATGAGCTTTGAATATTCCGACGCTTGGTACTAACGGGTGCTACACGTTTCAAGTCCCTTAWAGGTTTCTGGTTCAACATAAGAAATTTGAATTATCACACTKTTGCWTTACCTGAGCTAACTTCCTGGACAAATCATTGGTCAGGAACTCCTCTTCTTGTTCATAGTTTGTTGCTAACGTTTCCTTTTCTTTCTTTAATAACTGTATTTTCTTGAGTAATGTATTGGAGATGAACTCTTCTTCTTGTTCAGCTTTTGCTTGCTGTTCAACAAAATCAACAATTAACAAATTGTTCACCATCGGTTTTTCGTTGTATGTCCACTTATTGTCACACTCTTGACATCATAAAATGTTCAAAAAGTCACTTGGACCCATTAACGCAGTAAGTTTATATAAAAGATTGAAGGATAATGAAATTTTTCATGAAAAAAATATGAATACTCTCTGTGAGTCTAATGTCCATCACAGACAAAAACATATCAATACTGTCATTGTTGAGTGACCAATCCAGAAAAAAAATCATTATGCGTAAATAAAATTAGTAATAGACAGCTGTCATTCACAATAGAGCTTTTGTCTTACTACCCGCCAGTTTATGACATTAAATGGAGCTGCAATTACTATGTAGGAATGTAAATGACAATAAAAATTGTACATTGCAAATTCAATGCCAAATTTGCTCTTGCCGTGATATTTCAAAACTGGCAGTTAAACAAATAAATAGTATATGTGAGATATGATATATTATCAGTGTGAAGGCTCCTGTTATTAGCATAATAATTATCAGCCAATCGGGGTGCAAGAATCACAAAATTGCGGGGGAAAATAACGAAAAACAAGTAGTGATGTCTGGACCGTGTGTTTGTGTTATAAGTTAATGTTTTCTGAGCCAATCCCATAGTGCTGTCTGACAGTCTGTTCAAATCATAAAATATACATATTATACCCTCATATATGATTTTGCCATTTTGTCTATTTGCTCTTTTAATTTTCGTGATCACACGTATTTTATTTGCAAACAAAATATGGCTGTGAACAGTTGCACGTACAACATGCAGGGCGAAAACAGTGTATAAAACGATTAATCGCTTCAATCTCAATGCACTGTAAGTCAAATGACGCCCCTTTGACTTTAGTCTTTCTTAATGYTAGCATCAGATGGCTTTTCTTTGCATCATTGCATAACAATACAACACAAAAATTCAGTGAGAATTTGTACATTAGAAATYATTTTTGACAAGTCAGCTTTTCTAAAGCGTTGTCACAGCAATGGAAAACTAGACTCTAATCCTACTAAAGTTCAGTTTGTTTATCGAAAACAGATTCTAAGTGATTAAAACGCTAAGGGAGGTACCACAAGGCAATGAGTAAACATTTTTAAGCCAAGCRAACGTGTCGAGGAAGCAACTTCACGAGAAAGGACAGAGGTAGTCAAGAGAGGCAACAACATCCAAACACACGGCTTTACAGTGTTTGCATTTGAAACAACTCCATCGAAATACTCTTCCTATATCATAAATCTATGTACTACACAAGTTCAAAGACACTCTAACACGTCTAAAAAGCTCAACGAATCGAAAACGACGCAAAATTGTGACCAGAGATATATAAACTTACGATAGAAACACTGGCTTGGCGGAGCGCTCTGTTCTCTTCTTGAAGGGTTTTGCAGCGAAGTCTGCATGTCTCTAGTTCCATTTTTAATACTCTATTTTCCTGCTTGAGTAGACTGAGAAGACTTATATTTTGATTTGTAGTGGACGATGAACCCTCGTCTGCACTCATATCGCTGTCGCTAAAGGCCGGGCCCTCACCAGACAAGTTGAGAGGCACCGCCATCTTGGAAGTCTCCTTGACTGAAGAGCTCGTGGCCTTGTGGGTAATTAAAAATAGCTAGGGGTGGGGAGGTCATTCACTTTTTTATTTTTTTCCCTTCAATTTTCTGTATTTGTAGAGTACAAACATTAAATGTGTGCAACACTTTCTACTATTTACTACAAAATAGTGTTAATTAAACAATAGAATAGAATAGAATTAGCATAATTTAGCAGTATTTAGTGGTATTTATGTGGCACAGTTTAGTGTTTGTACTCTAGTATTCCTTATTCAGTTACTATTAGTATCATTTGCAACAACCAACTGTAGGCACTTTTAATCATACGGAAACGGCGTGTTTACCGCACGAACGTACAAATGTTAGTCTATCTTAATGGTATGGAATGTTTTTTTTTTGTTTTTTTTGTTTTTGTTTTTTTTTTGTTGTTTTTTTTTTAGCTAGACAAGCAGTTGGTCAGTTGTCATTTAATTATTGCGCGAATATTCAATGTAGTACACCTGATTGAAGACATAGAAGCTAAGACCGAAAGGGATTTTGAGTACCACTAAATTTGGATTACATTTGCATATACGGTGTACACTAAGCAAGTAGAGCTAACAACATGCTAGTCTTTTATGCTGGAGAGCTGTTTGTTATGAATAAATTAACCAAATTGTTTGTCTCCCCAAGTATCCCTCGGTCTTAGCTTCTTTGATTTGACCTTTTTGGGCCCGACAACGTTTCTTCAATTAGGTGTATATAGCTACAACGAATAACAATATGCATTTGGACAGAGTAAACCTTACATGGCTGATCATGGGTAACTTTTCTACAGACCAACCACCCCTTCACTTCCCTTCCCCTCTCTCCTCCAATGTTCAACGACTGATATTTATACAATTACATTACGATAAATCAATTTAATCTACAAATGGCTTAAAAACTAGTCAAAACAGGTTATATTTGTTACACAAAATAGCATTAAGATGGACTCTATTAAACAAGAGAGAGACTCTCTCTATCTAGCTGAAACATGCCAATAGATGTCCCGTTAAAAATGTTTGATTCGATCTAGTTGACTATGTCTTTAATACAATAAATTCATTAGGAGTTCTTTTGTAATGTTGTATACGTTATATATCCAACTATTTTTTTAAAATAGATACTTAAAAGTATCATTTTTATCATTATATAAATTTATCATCATTCTTTAAGTCTTCATACAGCTGCATAACAATTGGCAACAACAAAAACAACGGAAATCAAAAACGATTGGCAATAACAACAGCCACAATTATAATTACAACAACAAAAATATCAAATGATTTCTTCTGTGTGCAGCTCACTGAGAGGCTTTGTCGTCCTTAATGCGCGGCTTCGTCACTGACAGGGAAGAGAGATAGACAGGAGAGCTGCCGAGAGCGTCACGAGGAAAAATACTGAAGACTCATTGGTTCATATCCAATGGTTTATTAAACTAACACAAGCTGTTTGGTGTTCTGAACACTAATTTCATCCACAAACGTAACCGAATATCGACCATTTTTATTTGACCTACGAGACGTTTTCCCATCAATGTTTTCGCCTGGAAAAGTTCGACATCTTGGATGAAAAGTTTGTTTTATTGTCTCTCTAGACTGCCTGGATTCCATTGACTCCCTTGCTCTCATTCTAGAAAAAGTCCTTCCTCGGTCATCAAAAATAGCTAAAGAAAACGGTCTYGGTTGAAGTTTKTGAAGTTTGTTTTGAAGGAGTTCGTAGTTGGTTGGTTGAGAGTACCTGATTTGGAAAAACGAAGRTCTATGTCTTTGGGGTTCAACTGCAGGTAGTTTTATCGCCTCTTGACTTTTTGTGCACTGTTTTAAACGCGTGTAAAACTTATCACGATGAATTAGCTCACGATTGATTGTCTTCCTTGGTGCCTCATTATCACTTTTGATACAAAAACCGTCCGATTTATCGCCGGTCTCACGCGATATATTAAGAAAAGCAAGTAATTGCGYTACAAGCCTCTCAGCATCTTCATACTTGTTCAGATCGATGACTTCYTCTTGCAATTCATGGAGAACTTCTTGTTTTTGTTGTCTTTTTACTGCTTTTGATTTGTCTGTATTGGAAGACACAGGGTGACTAGATGATCTTTTGACTAATTTAGGACGTGCTGGTCTTGATTGGTTRCTGTGGTTGGAGTTCAAGGTACGGTCAGATTTGGATCTGTCGCGAAGTGAGGCCGACTTCTTCATTAAAGAACTACGGCTTTTTTACAMCCATATAACTGACGTGTGTTGTGTGCAACTAAATTTACTCCGATTATTATATTTGTGTTGCCATGGGAATAACAAAGACAAAAATCCTTTGATATAAACACCTTAAGCTGGGGTATACAATACGAAAGTCTTGCAGCACCTTAATGTGGATTTCACTGTTGTTGCTAGTTTCTCCAAAATRGTGTTCCAATTCCAACGAGGAATTACTCATGGACTATAATGTAGAATGTTTTGATGAGCCTCCGTCTGTCCATCATCGTAGTCGAAGAATCGTTTTAGAACGAATTCAAAGGAACTAACGATGTTTTTGTCCAGTCTGATGAAGTGAATGTTGAATTGTTGTTAGGCATCATTGAGGCGTCCAAAGGCGCATTGTTTTGCGGCTTATCTGCCATTCAAATGAAGGCTTACCGTTGTTTTGATTTGTTTGACTAAAATAATATGTTCATCTCGYAATATATATAAAGTGTAATCTGGTTAACGTGTTATATATATTTATAGCCGCTTATGTATTGGAATCTGCACCTTTTCTATGCTGATGCTATATTTGTCGCACACTCCTTGCGTCCATTGGCGACATGCTGAATAACCACCAAATCTGAAACCGCCGCACTCCAGCGGCCGTGCTGAACGTTTTCCACAATACAATGTAAATCTAAAATCCTTGTTTTTCTTGATKTCACAGTAATGATGCCATGCGCATGGCCTTCAGCTACAATCATTTAGATTTACGGCCATTTTGCGCATGCTCTAACTGAGTTCGTGACTCGTGAATTGCGAAAAAAAAGTTGCCAGAKGTGTGATAAACTGTGCAGAAAAATTTCAATATACGATTTATAAAGCGTCTCAGTTTGCTTTATGCCAAGAAGAAAATCAGTAAGAAAGTTTTTGGTCAATATTGTCATTGTGTAATATTTCTGGAGCAAGGAGACAACAACGAAAGAAGATTTCGCCTAGGTTCCCGATGATCATACATGCCTTTACCATAATGGCTGCAATTGTCTTTTTACAAAATAAGATACTTATGAATATTTTGTCACTGTAACATCAAAGATCTATCAGAAATAAACTCTGGACAAAATAGGAAAAAAAGTTATGGTGAAATGAAACTTACAAAGATATGTAATGTAATTTTCCACCAATGGCTGTCTGTCTATTTGTAGTTCTAAATATATGAAATATGTGAAAACTTTGTCACTGTCACATGAATGAACTGCCAGAAATAAACATTTTTGGAAAGTTTTACAGTCCTGGATAAAATGCGAACAAATTTATGGAGAAATGAAAATACAAAGAAATGTATGTAATTTTCAGCCAAGGTGTTTATAGCCTCGTTCTGGTGTTATGATATATTTTAAATCCTTATACCTTCACCAGAATTTAATATTTTCATTTCAAACTTTTATATGTTGTTATTAGCGTAGGTTCCTATCAGCTGTCAGTTGATTTTTATCAAAATTCTAAATTTTAAAAATTTATGTTAATATTAGATGGCGGCCATTATGACAAAGGTGTATGCGTTGGTTCAATTTTAAACTATTAAGTAACTATTATGTAAGTCGTAAGTTCTCTCTTTCAGCTCGTGATTCAAATTAATAACACCGTGCAGTGTACTTCTWTAGAGAACGGAAAGAAGGAAGATATCTTTAAAGAATGCATAAATCACTGGAAAAAATCGCGCGCTTTAAAGATCGTAAATTTGATGTAAATATGATGTAAAAAGTRTCCAAAATTCTGTAAATTTGATGTAAATGATTTCCATTAAATTTACAGAATTTTGGACGCTTACAGTTACATCAAATTTACAACCTTTAAAGCGCGCGATTTTTTCCAGTGAATGAAAGAGTTGATTTTAGAATTAACATAACAACACTGGCTTTATTGGCACATTGACAATTATTTGACGAGCATTTTACACTGCTGAATTATCCATTCTATTCATGTAGATTAAAGCTTTCATTTAAAAAAATTAGTTCGATTGGTTAATGACAGATCTATTCAGTTCTTCCTTGATGGCATGTCCAACATCTTTCGCAGCTTTAGGTATGCAATCTCGTCTTCTACATCGCTGTCTACATTGCGAGGCATATCCTGAAGACAAACAAAAAAAATCACTAGTTACAAACAGATGGCCTGAGTCTCTATAGCCTGCGTAGCGGCTTTAGGGGAGGGGGGAAGGTCTCTTGTTCTTTCCCTCCTCCTCCACCGAGGCCGCTCCCCTTCCGTTTGCTCTGTTCTCCCATTCCCTAGAGCCGTTACGCAGGCTAGATTCTCCAGGATCATGAGGTGTGGTCGTCATGACAGTCTATTTTATTACCAATTGATAACCCGGGCCATGTCATGATATATTTTCTCTAAAAACAATATGCAAATCAAGATGATGAGCAAATTTACTCAACCGTCATTCCGCAATAGAACCAGCTGGTGAGTGGAAAAGGCGGGCAGTTCCTCCCCTACCCCTCTCCCTCAAAACYCCCTCCGTGGTCGGTAAACCTGTTTTGTGCCTGCATCAAATAACATGTGAGTAAAAGGAAATAAGTCAAGTTCTAAGATCAAAAGTGAGCATGGGAGAGCATTTGAATTCATGCTAGTTTTATTTTTCTGATACATTAGCTCAAGTACTTATCTATTAGGTAATGAATGTACCTTGAAAACATCAAACATACCGGACGCTTTAAGTATACTATATTAAAATGATTGAAAGACTTATAGAAACAATGCCTCTTTAGTAATAAAAAACGACTTTTTAAGGCAACCGAGCCGTTTCATAGTGGCGCCAAAT